GGCTTCAATTCTCACTTCAGATTCTTCCCAGGTCCAGGGGACCCCCTTCCTCATGGTGCTATATTCCAGCATCTGGATGGTGACACTCAGAGAGGCTGTTTTCTCTGCAGCTTACTGCTCTGCCATTTTCCTGGAAATTGGAAAGCTTCTTTCTGTGTTCAGTTTGGGGTTATTTTCTGAAACCCTTCTGTGGGTCATGTCCAGTGCTGTTAATCAGGTGATGAATAAAACAACTCTGTCACTGTCCCATAAGCACAATTCACTTGTTTGTTATTATCCCATCACCCACAGCAGCACTGTTCCTGGCACACCACAGGCACTTTATAATCATGTGAGTACCACCTGTTATAGGGGAGGGGGTACTGGGAATTGAACTCAGGACCTTGTGCTTGCCAGGCAGGCACTGTGCACTCAGCTACATCCCTGGCCCTCATCTACTAAACGTGATGGCTTCTTCTGCTCTTTTCTAATTGTAGAATAAAATTCATGGGAACTGATTTTAGAGAGGCGATCTTTATGGTCAGCGTTTCCCACAGCATCTTTAAACAAAAAGGCAGAAGTAAATGACATCAAACTATTTTTTAGGCAGCACACATCTCTCCATGAAGATTATGCTGGTAGCAAAATGTGTAAAATCAGTGATGCTTCTAAGGAATTTAGACACAAAGACATCCAACAAAATACAACCATTACTGTTGTTGCTGGGGATCAAACCAGAGCCTGCATATGCCAGGCACGCACTCCACCACTGAGCTACATCCCCAGGTCCCCAGTCCAATCACGAAGGGACAAATTGGGTAAGAACGGAAACCACAACCGGCCTCACAGCTAAAAGCAGACTTGGGCTGGAGAGGGAGCCCTTGGAAGCCCCAGGCAATGACAGTGCCCGGCTGGATTCAGGGTTTCTTTAAGGCCAGGTGTCCAGTGGGGACGTCCTCTTCCAAGTCTTGAAACAAATCATTTAAAAAAGTGGGGAGCTGTGGCTGAGTGCTCTGATTCTCTGAATCTCAAAGTCTGTGAACATCATCTTCTTGACAAGACCAGGCATTCTTTCTTTTATTGTGGTAAAATATACACAGCATAACGTCAACCACTGGTCACTCTGAAATACAGAGCTTGGTGGCATTTTCCTTTTCTGAGACGGATCTTGCTATGTGGCCTAGGCTGGCTTTGAGCTTAGCACGTGGCACAGACTGACCTCAAAATTAAGGCGATTCTCCTGCCTCAGCCTTCCGAGTTCTGGGTTGATAGGTGTAAACCACCTCGCCTGGCAGTTTAGTGGACTTAGTACACACACATAGAGCCACGAAACTGTCACACTGTCCATCTCCACTACTTGTCATCTTGCCAAAGTGACACGCTGTGTCCCTCCCCAGCCCCTGGCGACTCCCTCTACTTTTGATCTCTATGAATATGACCACTGTAGGGAGCTCCTTTAGGTAGATTGTCCAGTGTGCATCCTTCAGTGCCTGGCCTGTCACTCAGCAGTGTCCACCAATTCCTGCAGGTTGCAGTGTCTGTCTGAATTTTCTTCCTTTTAGGACCAAATGATCTTCCATTGTGCACGCACTGCCTCTTGTTCAGTGACTCATGGGGTCTCCCTCTGCTGTTGCATGCTGTCAGCTGTGTTGGGGATAGGGCACATCTCCCTGTTCACAGCTGAGTGAGGAACATGGCAAATGACATGTGCATTGTGGCCCCAGGGCCACTGTAGGAGCCTGTGAGACCCCATGCTGTGGACCTGATCAAGGGCCTCAGTGGTACAAACCACACATGGTGAAGATTGTTACTTATGGTCACACTGACAGAGAAGGTGAGCCGATACCCAGTGCCACTTCTGGGGCTCCTCCAGTTAAACTGGGCATAGCTCCAGGCTGGTCCCCAACACAAGGCTGCTGTGGGAAACATCACAGAATTGTGGGACCTGCCTCTGTGTCTGGTGCCCTCTACTTTGAGTAACCTACAATCAAAATGATGGCTTTCTCTTTTAGCATCTCTCCTTAAATGGAGTTGGTCTATCAATTGTCATTAGTCAATGAGGGACTTTCTACATCTACCTCCCTGTTCCTCCTGGCCTCCCCCAGAACTGTATTTTGGACCCACCCTTCCTACCTTCTCTCACCCTTGGCTTCTGCACAGATCTGGCCTGAGACGGGGGGGCGGGGGCGCGGACGCCAGCACCCCATCCCTCTGCCTGGAAGGTGTCGTCATCCCATGCTGCGGCTCCTCCCTGGCGCCACCGCCCACTGGGCAGCCAGGCCAGGGGTACTCTGGCAACACTAGCTCCTCTCACTGCCTGAGTCCTTGGCAGGCCGCCCAGCGTCCCCTTTGGAGTCTTTTTGTTCTACTGCCTCTCTAGCCAGCGCTTGCTAAATGCCCGGGAAGACAGAAATGGTTCTGAGAGTCCCATGGTGTAAGTATATTAAAGAGCCAAGTAAAAGACAGATAACAGGAAACAGGGGGAACTTTTGCAGATGGGATGGGGACCAAGAGATGGTGGAGAGGGAGGCGAAGAGGACATAAAAAGAGTTAAGACACGTTACACACATGTACCAACGCCCTGTGAGCAATGTGATCATTATGTACCACAAACATGTACAAATAAAAAGAAAAATTAAAAAACAAAAAGACCCAGCTGTTTATGCTCCAGAAGGTGGACGACCTCCACCTGGTTCCTGCCTCTAGGGGCTGAACTCTGAACCCCCAGGATGATGCTTCCTCCTCCTGTCTCTGCCAGACACCTGCCCTCTGCAGGGCTGGCCCAAGCGGTGTAAACATTGCCTTCTTCACTGTGTGTATCCCCAGCCCCAAGCACAGGCTCGTTTTCTTTTTTTAGAAGCTTCTCCTTCACGACTCCCATACTTAAGCCCTTCAGCCACTTTGGACCAGCTTGGTGGCAACCCTCACTGCCTGCACACCCTTCTCTCATGCCCACAGGGGCCCGTTTGTCTGTCCACCTCCCCTGGCTCCACTTCCCAGCGTTCCTGGGCCTGTTCACCTGGCCCTGGGCTCCTGCCAGGGACGGTGCACACTATGCAGGCAAGAGCAGTACCTGCAGCCTGGCCCTGGCCATTTAAACGGACGCTTTGCCAAGGCCGCCTTGAATCAAACCACAGCTGAAGGAACAAGAATAGTCTGCTGTGTTTTCTGCTTGGCGGGCACATCTTTGCCCAGTCCTGTAAACAACTGTGATGGGTTTAATTGTGTCCCTTAAGATGTGTTGGCATGTTAACCCTCAGTCCCTGTGAAAGTGACTTTATTTGGAAACAAGATCTTGGCTGATCGAATCAGAGAACATGAGGTCATTAGGGTGGTGACCAGCAGACACAGGAGAGACTGCTGCAGGGAGATGGAGGTAGGGGTTGGAGAAGCTGCCACAGACCAGGAAACTCCAAGGCATGTGGCAGCTGGGAGAGGCGGGTGCCTCCTGGAGCACTGGAGGGTGTGTGACTCTGGAAGCCTTGGTTTTGACTGGTGCTCTCCAGTACTGTGGCCGGTAAATTGCTGCTGTGTTATGGTATGCGGTGTGTGATGCACCTGGTTCTCCATCTGCGGACACCACCAGCTGTGGATTCCACCAAGCGTAGCTCAGAATGGTTGGGGAAAAATTGCTATCTGTCCCACACAAGTACTGTTCTGGTCTTTGGTCCCTAAGCAGTATTGATGGTCTGCACAGTGTGGACACTGTCTGTGGTGTTCTAAGTAAGTGATGATGGTGAGAAATGTTTGAGGAGACACATGCAGGCCTCAGATGTCCTCAGACCAGTGCTCTGTGGCTGCTATGCTGTCATGGCAGCCCCCAGCACAACAACTGAATGGACTGGTCCCCTCCACATAGCCAGCACAGATGACACGATTTTTACACGCATGCTGGGCATGGGAGGGCACTGGTCCCTGCAGCATGTCATATAGGCCATGGTGAATGGGGTCACCAAGCTTGGGGTCCCCTGTATTGATGCAGAGAACGTGCAGGAGTGTGGCAAAGCCAGCTTCCTCCGTCAACATGGCCTGGTCCTTCCCAGCCAATCCTTAGAAAGTCACAATGACACTTGTCATCATACTCAGTTCTGAAAGGTTGCCCTCAGCCAGGCATGGTAGCACACATCTGTAACCCTGCACTCTGGAGGCTGAGACAGGAAGATTGCTGAGAGTTCAAGGCCAGCATGAACTATATCACAAGATTCTGTCTCCAACAAAACAAAACAAAACAAAACAAGGCTGACCTTTCTAAGAAAACAGCCAAAGTCAACACAATGTTGGATTTTTAAGTCCATTTTTTTTCATAACAGGAATTGAACTCAAGACCTTGCACTTGCCAGGCAGGTGCTATGCCACTGAACTATCTCCTTGGCCCTGGATTTTTAAATCTTAAAACTGTTCTTCTTTTGCTTTGCCTATAACATTTTACTTTTAATAACCAAGGTATATCCAAACAATCTTTCAAAGTATTTTTTTTTTTGTACCAGGGATTGAACTCATGACCTTGCACTTGCCAGGCAGGCGCTTGTGCCACTGAGCTAAATCCCTGGCTCGAAGTATGATTTTTTAAGACGGATGGAGGAGCCCAGTGCGGTGGCGATGCCTATAATCCCAGCACTCAGGAAGGCTGAGGCAGGAGGACTACAAGTTCAAACCCTGCCTGGGCAATTTAGCAACTGAGTAAAAATAAAAAAAGACTGAGGATACAGCTCAGTACACAGGTCCTGGGTCTCATGCCAGTAACCAAAAACATAAATAAGAAGAAGGCTGATCAGAAAGCTTTCCGTGATGGGCTGATGTTGCAGCACTTCCTACGGAGCTAACCTTGCTGCATTTCCTGATTGCTATCTGCCCACCCCACCCTTGCCATTTTTCCCTGATCTGTGCTTTATGACAAATTAAACCACAAAAGCCAGCAGAGCACAGCTTCAGCCATGGGCTGAGACAGAGCCAGCATGGGGATGGCAGCAGTCCAACGCCCAGGTTGTACAGTCTCATCCACGGAAAGGGCCCAGACTTACAGTTCTGGGTGCAGCGTGATGCGTGGGGGAGGCCAGTGGCGGCCTGGTCGGGCTCTGGAAGGCCAGGCAGAAGCGCTGGCCGGTGTCTGGTGGCGAGGAGGCATAGATGCGGTTCTCCAGGCGCTCAGGTTCCTGCTTGTAGGACTCGAGAGGAAACGTGTGCTGCTTGGTCACTTGGGTGGGAGTGGATGGGGAAGAGGAGACGTTGGAAGCTGTGGGAAGACACAGGGCCTGTTAGAAGCTTGGCTGGGTGGAGGCGGGCATCAGAGGCTCCTCCTCTTCTAAGAGCCCAAATCCTCCAGTGGCAGCAATCAGAATCATTCATTCAAGACAGGCTGTGAGGGCCGGGGACTTAGCTCAGTGGTATAAGAGCCTGCCTGGCAAGCGCGAAATTGTGAGTTCGATCCCCGGCACCAAAAATAAAAAAGATAGGCTGCTATGCAATGCACTATGGAGCCCAGGCTGACTTCAAACTCACAAGTGGACCTCCTGCCTCAGCCTACCAAGTACAGGGATTGCAGAGGTGTGTGGCACCTCGGCAGTAACTTGTTTCTTCGTCGTTGTTGACAGAATACTTTATTAGTTTCCGTACCAAACTCACTAGAGAAGACCTGAATATTAAAGACACCATGTCAAATCTTCACAAATGGGGAAAAAAACTGAGTTTAACATTTCTAGACCAGCATGGCTATTAATTTATGTATAATGCCAACTCAATGTGGTAACTGGGATAACTTTTTCCAAAGTTGATGACATGGTTAAAGTTTCTAAAAGTCTCAACTTTATATATATATATGTGTGTGTGTGTATTTATATTTACATAAAGAGATCAATAATAGAAGTATGTTATGCACCAATAGCAGCGACAGCTTTTCCAGGTTCTGTAGTCATCAGAGCAAAATTATAGAGACCCACAGAGCACTGCATTAAAAAGAAAGAAAAGAACACCTGATGGTATATTTCTTAGTACCAGGCAATTTTGTAAACCTACTTCTACTCTCTTAGATTTGCAGGGTCAGAACTTCCCTTGCACCCCAATTAGGCCCTAGAGGTCCCCTTGTTAGGGGGATGCTCACAAGGTCCTGATGTCACATGGTGTAACCCACATCCTCCTTGGTCAGTCCCCTCTTCTGCCACTTGGCCGGATCCACTTGTTCCCCTCTACTCTTCCCAGGCACGAGCCAAGAGCAAACCTTGCTCTGCCGAATTGATTGGGGTTTTTCACAGGAATGCTTGCAAAGTGTCTGACCAACACCAAAGTCAGTGCTGTGGGGGGATGTCACGTGACAAAAAGGAAGAATCAGGAGGGACAGCCCTGCCCAACAAACGTGTGACTTGAATAGATGGCACTGAAGTCTCAATTCCTGTTGTCTGTGAATGTGACCTCATTTAGAAATAGGATTTTTGCAGAATAACCAAGTTATGGGGATGTTTGCTGGATTAGGGTGCGCCTGGAAGCAACTCAAGTGTCTTATAGGAAGAAGAGATGCATAGAGTTTTGGAGGATTCATGCAGAATTATTGGTTCTATTGCTCTTGGCCAGTGGCAGCAAAACATGGCAGGAATGAATGACAGAGCAAAACCTATAATTTCATGGCCAGGACACAAAAGACAGAAGAGGAAAAGACACCCAGGGACCAGAAGACCTCTTTGTGGACCCAGCCTATTAAAGGTCCATCACCCCCAACAGTGGCCAAGCTGGGACCAAGCCTCCATTCATGGATACTGAGTGATATTCAACATCCAGACTAGAGCAGGGGAAGGGAAACTTGTGAGGGGAAGAGAAGGGTGAAATGTCAGAGCTGTGAGTAGTTTAGGGGGACGGGGAAGGAACCTTCTTGGAACTACAAATATGGTCCCTCTACATGGCTCGGGTCCAGTCCTGGAACTCCAGCAGGCATTGTCTGGAGAGTGCTGTCACACACGCCAGCCCTGCGGGTGTCCCTGATGCCCACTTACAGACAGAAAGACTGTTGGCAGCAGGAAGGAAGCTGGGAAGGCCCCAGGTGCCTGAAAGGCAGGAGAGGGTGGTGGGGCTGGGGGTGGGCTGGGGCCTGGTGCCTGGGCATTCTTGATGGGCAGGATGGGCTTCCTTCTCACCAGCTGGAAGGGAAGGCACACATCAGCGAGCAAGAAGGAGGCTTTCACCCCGTGGATACTGTCTCCCTGCTGGGGACGCTGGCTTAGGCAAGGCCCCAGGGCGGGTCAGAGCCATGTTCCTAAACTTTCTGTTTTGAATGTTTAGTGTCAAGGTTGCTAAATGAAGGAGCAAATGGGGCCACTGTGGCTTCAGCCCCACTGCTTTCCCCTTCCTCGTAGGGGAAACCTCCTCTCATCTGTTGTGACAGTTATGTGTCTGCTGGCCAGTCAAGCCTACGGCCACACAGAGCTGCATGGCAGGAGGAGCAGGCTAGGAGATAGGGAGAAGTCTTACCCTTCTGCCTGGCTGGGGAACTGGTCAAGAACAAAACTCACAGCAAGCCAGATACTGCCTTGTCCCGACCACAGAGCACCCAGTGCATGTAGCATGGAAGCAGGAGGAGCCTGGAGAAGAGAGCAGGCCTGCGGCAGGACGTGGTAGAGGGCTCACAGAAACATCAGCGAGCCCTCCTGCCCTGGAAAGTGAAGATTTGTGCCCCTGAGACAAGTAAACTTCCTGAGGGCCTCGACAGGACCAGGCCATGGCAGCAGAAGCCTTGGAACAGGCCACAGGACACAGAGGTGACGATGTCTTCCAAGACTCCCTCACTCTGGGTGGGGCTGTTGCCAGCCTGAGGGTGAACAATTCCTCTGATTCTCCAGGGCCACAGCCAGGCCGTGTGAATAGCCCCAGTGAGTGACAGAAAGTGCCACTGGCAGCCATACAGACCCCACATCAGTGGCGCCAGACACCAGGGAGCCAGAGCTGGTGACTTCGCAGGGCCTGGCTGTCCATGTCAGTGGGAGCTGCATCTGGAAGAATGGGGAGGACAAAAGAGGACAGTGGTGCCACTGGTCAGAAGTGAGTGCCAGCCTAAAGGACAGTCACGCAGGGAAGAAGTGAGGTTGGACATCAGGGCCGCATGCTCAGGTTGGATTTGCTCACTTGCCAGCTGTGGGCCTCAGAGCAAAGCCAGCCCTCATGTTGGCAGGAGTACAACAGGTAGACCAGATGGTTGTGCATCCTGCAGTGTGAAGAAAGAGCCGGAGTCACTGAGCCTTTGCTTGCATAGGGGCTGTGGTGACAAGGAGGGCAGACTTGATCCAGGACAGAAGGAGAAGCATGGGTGGGCAGTTGACACTGGCTAGGGGATGCTTACATGGATGTTTACACATCATAGAGAATCACAGCAGTGTGTGATGCTAGAGTGTGGGGTGGGGTACACTGTAGGACCAGCCTCTGGGTTTCTGCTGGCTCAGGACATCACTCAAAGGCTACAGTCTCAGATGACCATATTATCATAGAATCCCAAGGGTGGGATACAGAATCCATTGGGGTGGCCCAAAGTAATCAAGATACAGGCCATGGGACCCCTGCTGCCATGATACTTTTGCCTTTGAGCCAGTTAACCATGAACTGAATCCCCTGAAAACGTAAGCCAGATTAACCCTTTCCTGCTTAGAGGAAATTTGTAGTGGGTACTGGGTATTTGGGTCATAATAACCAAAATTTTGGTTATCAACAATAAAGAACTGACTAATAAGTATAGAAAAAGAGGGTACTACTGCAAGGTTCAGAGTCAGGTTCAGATCCAGGGCTGGTGAGCATCTAGGTGACAGAGCGGGTCCTTGGGCTACCAGCCTCGGTCAATGGCATGCTTTCCAGGGAAGTGGCTGGACCTGGTAAGGTGCTGTCAGGGACTGGGATGTTCAGCTGCAGTGCAGGTTGCAGTGCCACGGCCAGCTATGTTCCTTTCTGAATTCCCAGAGGGCTGCAGGTCACCACCTGTCTGCCCCACACAGCAACTGCCTAGCCAGTGCCTGCCAGGTGGAATTTGACCCAGAACTAGCCACAGGATTGACACGGCACAGGGGCCCACTAAGGGGAGTGACTGGAAGTGGGACTCTAGAAGGAATTTGCACAGTTTCCATTCCTTGCCAGGGCCAAGATCACCTGGAGCTTTGAGCATCCACGATTGGGGTCTGAAGATGGGTTGAGTGGGGCTGAGCGGATCCTGGGGATCTGAGATTTTTAAGGCAATGCAGGGGGTTTGGGAACCACTGACTTCACCTAACTTCCTCATGTTTCTTCTTCAGTAACTTCAATAACTGCCAGCTCCCCACAGTCCTCAGGCCTCAGCTCTCTCACAGGTCCCTTCTCTGGGGAGAGAGCCAGGTTTCTGTTTTCTGACCTCTACGTTCCCTTCAGATGGAAGGCTCCCTTCTTGCAGCTAAGGACAACTGCATTCAGAGAATCCCTGACTCACTCTTTCTCCCTGGGCTCTAGGTGCAGGCCAGCTGGCCTGAGTTCCTCTGTGGCTTCCCAGCTGCTTTGAGATTGTTATGGTTTAGATCTAGATGTCCCTCTAAAGTCTCATGCGTTCATACGCAGGATCTTTGGAAGGCAACTGATTATAGGGCTTATAGCTAACTTGTTGACAGGCAGAGAGGCCTGGTTGGAAAAGGCAGAATCTCTCTTCCAGGCTCCTCCCTTGACCCTCATTGCTTCCTGTCTGCCATGAGGTGAGCAGCTTTTCCTCCACCAGGTCTGCCACGCTGTCCTGACTAGGAATCAGACAATTATGGACTGAACCCTCTACGAACTGTGGACTGAGATAAACCCTTCTTTCTTTAACTTGTGGGTGTCATGCATTTTTGTCCTGATGAGGAGAGTGACTGAGACAGAGATCCTGCTCAGAATGCTACAATACCACCCATTTCCTGGGGGCCGAGTGTCCTCCCCACCCGCTAGGACCCTCTCTCAGGGCAGAGTCCCCAGGCACTTGGTGGAGTACTGGCACAGATGTCAGCATAACCCAGCAGCAGTGGACCCTCCTGAGATCACTGTCAAGCCATATATTAATTCAGAGTAAGGCTTTGGCTGCAACTTTGCATACAGGTCCTAAAAAAGTTTTATAGTCTTATCATTAAAACTATTCCAAATACATTAGAAAACACAGGAGTTATTTTAGAGTCAAAAGATTACGGTAACATTTATGGTAAAAAAAAACTTCTTTCTGTTAACAAAACAAAACATGCTTCTTTCATGATGTTTGCTCTCATCCAGCCCAAC